AAATTGTACAAAACTTTGAATAATCCTTGGAAAAAAGCGGCAAATGTATTATGATTTATGGTTTTGGCGAACGTGATTTTTAGAGTAGATGCCTCACGATTATTTTTTGAATGAGGGTTGGTGTGGGGAGTTGGCTCAAATGAAAAAGTTGTTTCTCGCCTTCAAGGTTGTCTAATGAAAAAACTCAAGTGATTATATCTCATCAACTTCCGCTCCCATCTCCGACCGCATAGAGAATTTATCGGAAGGGGGTGCTTACAAACTTAAAATGGAATGTCTGGACGAGAATCCAGAAGTTCGGTATCATTCAACGAGACGTTGACAAACTCTCAACGATTACCATCCCAGAATCTACAGCTCTTAATGTTTTATTAGGAGTACTACAAATTCCTTTTTTCTATTTCGGTGTTACAATGAGAATTTTGTGCAACTGTTTTCAGCAAAAACAGTGTTTCAATGAGTTCCATTGTAACATTGTTTTTGGTAACTTTTCATCTCTAAGTTGGCAGTTCGCCAAGACGTCAACGTCAAATCATCGGATGTGACATCAAATTACATAAAATTTATGTGTTTTCCTTGATTTTTGGTACACGAAGAACTTAATACATTCCAAATCAGCAGTTTACACATCCACCATAAATAAATTTATCTACGAATAAAAATTACACATTCACGGAATTTAAAGTTTCCAAATGTCAGTGTTGTGTTTATCTACGCTGCCAACTTAAAATTTGTCAACGTAAATGGTGTTGCCAACTTAAGACATATTAATTCTAAAGTTTCCTGTAGTTTTTCATAATTACTTTTTAATTAAATTAAAGCCCTGAAATAGAAAAAATAGTATGAAAAACACGTGTTACAATGCTTTATTGTAATACTCCTATGTTGTGGACAGTCGTGGCTCCGCGTCGCTACGCCACTCGTGCCACAAGATGGTCGTATTACAATAGGTCGCATTGTAACACTTGTCTTTCAATATACTATTATTCGCCCTTTTCATAATCAACAATTTATGCTTGTGTACAGTAGGTTCAGGTTATAGAAGGAAGGACGTGCCTCCATGGACACTTGACAGTTCTATTTGTGATCAAATTTGTTTGTATAACTGTAACAGTAGATTCTCCTGTATAAAATGAAATTGAATTTGACATCGAGAATTTGTATTCCGCATACGCAGATTTAATAACTAACTCCTCGCACATGGATTGCGTAAGTCATTCGAGTTCAAACGTGAACCAAAGTTTTGGAGGAGTAAATCTAATTTCTTATCTGTGAACGCCACCAATTCAAACACTTTGAAGTACAATTTAAAAAGTGTTATATGGATAAAACTTAAAAAATTGAACTGGTAGTATTTTTTCTAATTCCACCTGTCGTGGGAATCTCAATGGTGAAAGTTGACAACACCTTGGGAAGTCATTGAATTAAGGTAGCAGATGGCTTGCAGGAAATAAAAACTCATTGATTAACAAAAGTTCAGTATATTTTCCCCAAGGTGACTACTCTAGGTACTACTTCCCGGGCCATCATTTCTATATCTTTCAGTTAATCGTTGATTCCGCTCTATTCTATACTCTCTGCAGAATGTTGGTGAACATTTACGACCTGTGGGTATTGAGAATGGCATTTTAATAGGTTTGAATGAGTAGGCTATGTCGCTTTAAAACCGTGAGGGTAGATAAAGTGATCACTTTAACCGCTAGGATAGATAAAGTGAAACAGGTGATTGTGTATTCTAATGACATCTGCCATTCTCATTTCAAACTGGATGCGACGCATGATATAACATGACGTTTAGAACATAATATGATAATACCGTTTCTATGGAAAGGACCGCGGCAGTAGAACCTAAGCTTGCTATTTTTGACTTCTTAAATTGAATTCAGAATTGTCAATAGCAATTATTTATATGGCTTCTGCTATAAAATAAAGTTTTGTATTATACACGACGATATAGGAAAACTATCTATCTCGCATGGCTGCGCCACTCGTGAATTAACATCCGGTTGCCTTAATTTGCACGCAGTCTGAGACTGCAACTAATTTACATCGTGTGAATGAATATATTTAAATAAATCTAAATACATTCAGTTATAATTTAAACTTATTTTATTTGAACACTGTATCATTGCAATTAATTGTGTCTAGATAAATCTCTACTGATCCCGTGTAGTGAACCCTTTGTGAACCCTAAAGGTTGCAGCTGCAGAAAACTCCTTATTTTGTTTCATAAAACTGTTTAACTTCCCAACCGCCGCTTCGCTGCACCAATTCATTCGGTTACATTTTCCGACGAATATTTGCTTGAAGTCTAGCACAGCACTTACAGCCAACTGGCACGAATGTGAGCTTATTACCTTTTTCTCAAATCCAAAGACGAGTCTACTTAGTAAAATATAAATAACCTGTCTGCTCATGTTTCATATTAAATTAACCTACCTAAATACCAGTAGCATAAACATGCTTCTTACGAATTGTATCGCATTTCTCATGAAAGATCCTATTTCAAATAAAAATATCAAATTGTGAAATTGCTTCTCCTAAAGTATTAGATAGACGCTTCTACCCTTAGTATGCACGTCCCAATTTCGATGCGGCAAAATGGCGAAGAGTCAATTTCAAGGTATGTAAAATGACGTGCTTATATGTGTGGATAGAGGAGTCCCTTTTACTTATATTTCTATTGAAGGAGTCACCAACAGGACAATGGCTAATCATAAACTACGTCATACGGACGTTTAATTTGGGGTCATTAGCTGCAGTAATGTTGGGTCACCCTGTACGTATCAAATTTCAATTATTTGTGACGTTAAATGTTGGTCGCTAATTTAATCATTGTTAATTTGATTTAGAATTATATATTTAATGAAGTTTATTTTGATTTATATTTGTAAATTTAAATGACGTGTTTAAAAGATTAGGTTTAATCATTTGGAATTAATTGACTAAATGTTCACTAACGTTTATCTCATTTAAATCCGGTCGTTGTGATAAGAAACTTGTTATCGCTTCTTAAGCTAAGTTTGAAGATACGCTGGTTTCGCCGATAAGAAAACACAGGTGTTTAATTTCGAAGAGGGAAATTCAAAAAGAGGAGAGGCGGAAACTAAGAGAGGGAAGATTGTTTTAATAGCAGAGGAAGACGAGAATCGGGGCTTGTTTTGTGGTGAACGTTAATCGCTGTCTTTTTTGGCTTGGTGAACATTGAGACGTTAGTCTATTTGAACGTTTGTTTTGTTGCAATACAATCAGTTTTGCCAGTTATGACGTTTAGAAGAAAGTAGTATAAGAGATTTTAATGAAGTCGTTTAAGGTGAGCGTTTAAGTCGGATTAAAGAACTTAAGTTTACGAAGAAATAGTTGTTGCTCAATACTTGTTAAAGGGGCTCTATAGGTTTCAAAATCCCCGATCCAATGAGTGGGACTGCTATGTGGCGAAACTGTCCAAGGGTTTGGATGGGCCACCTTTGCTCTGTTTGAAAGCAGTGCAGGTGTAAGTGGCGGCCGCATTATTAAGTGACGCCCTAATAGCGTCATATCAGGATATAGCTGCAAACTGCGGGGCTTTCGAGGAATGAAGAGAACACCTTGGTGGAACTCAGATCTTAAAAATATTCGTAGGAGGGTTCGCAGGCTTTTTAATAGGCTCATGCGAACTAAGCTTCCTGCAGACTGGGAGGATCGAAAAATCTCTCAGGGCAAGTATAAGGACCATACTCGAAGGTCTAAACGTGGATCATGGAGGACCTCTTCTGTGGTAACATGGAGGATCTTCGTGAAATTCAAAAACAATAGCACATTTTTTTTAATTCTTAGGAAATGCGCTAAAAATAATAGTCCTTAACACATTACAAATCTCTTTTCCTTTGTGGCCGTTGAATGCTACTATTATCATAAAACGAAAAATTATCAGATTATTATTATTACACTTAAAAAAATATATAACGGCCATCATATTGAGTTCGGTGCTTCACTTCTTCACGTGTTATAACGTCATAGGAACCATAGGAATCAAATGTCAACTTGAATTTTTTTATACATTTTTTGAACCGCCTGTTCCACAATAAGTTTTATCATTAACCGAGTACGAGGCCTATAACCTGTTAGATATTACAGATAATTAAGGAACACATAAATTGACATTGACTAGTATCTACACAAACTTAATTCTCATATTATAATAAACATGTAAGGATAGACACTTCAAAAAAGTTTTACATTTACGACATAGCGTTATATTTATTTTGGTCGCTATATATAGCTGTTGCATCATTCTCTCTTTTGATGACTTGACTGACGTTGTTCCAGAACGTAATAATAATTTCTGCTGCAAACTGGACGTGGTGGTGGTGCGGTGAAGGCAAATATCCCCGTTATTACATTCCGTTCCCCTAGTTGTGGAAGGAGCACATTAGATACACCACCCTGTATACTTATGAGGCTTTTATCGAAAATGACATGTTTATGTAAAGGTACAATAAAATTCTTTAATTTTGGAACTAATTTGTATTTAACGTGTGTGGTGTGCCTTACACAATTCGTCAGAAATCCCGAAACCCCCGTTTCACGGTAATTATAAGTTTACGCGTACTTCGTATTAAAGGGAACCCGAAGAGAATCTTAAGACTGACCATATTTTTATCTTAATTATAATCTTCAGCATCGGTGAATCTGCAAGATGAGAGTTATTGTTTTGTATTAATTAATATAAATTATCGCTTGATAAGATTGGACACTGAATTCATTACATTAATTGCTAGTTAAAAATAAACTGAATGTCAGAAATTCATTTTAAGTGTTGTTTTGTTCCCGCATCCTGAATGTGACGTTCTGACGTTGAATGTAAATTTCAATTATAGCATCCACTATGGAATCTATCTTTTTTATCGTACCAAGCTGTAACTGAACGTCAAATAGCAATTAACTGTGGTGCTTTTGATTTCTCAATTCGAACATAGCATATAACATAAAACCGTAATGTCAATTTCTTCTTGTTGTAGGTGTTGGATGAACGAAGGTCGTTATAATATAATCCTCCAAATTCCCGTATGTGCGACAGTGTTCCTTAACGTAATTTTCCTCTTCAATATACTGAGGGTACTCCTAATCAAACTAAGAAGAGGACCGCACATGCATGGTGCAGGAAGTTCGGGTACATCGAGAACGTCATTGCAGGCTTTAAGGTAAGAACACTCATTTCCCTTACAGTTTAATTAACGGTAGCGCAGTTTTGCCTCGTATTATGTATGCAGATATAATTAATGCATTTTAATATTCCTTTGTTGCGACTGAATCTAAATGTGTAACATTAGTTAAATGTTGAAGCATTTTACTTTTATAGCGTAGCACACAACACTCATACAATTAATGTGTAATATATGTTCTTCGCTAATGAAATTCCACAAAAACGTTATAAATGTTTATTTTCAAGCACCAAGCGCAATGCTTTCGAAAACTTATATCCGTTCTCGCTCGTCAAAAAGTTTCCAAGGTTTATTTTCCTGCAAATGAATTAAATAAATACGCAGAGAAACGTAAACTTGTTTTCAAGGACACATACCTTTTATTGTATTTTCCTAGCGTCTTCTGCGACCGGGTAGTTTTCACCCAAACGTCAAATTGGAAAGTAGGTAATTCATACGAAAACTTTTTTAACGTTTCAATTCGAAAATGAATAACTGAAAACGAATTACATCCACCTCCTCCTCATGCGATGATAGATCGTGATACCATAAAATCTCAGTAAATATTAAAAAGCTTCAATTGAAGAACAGCAATATTCAATGACAAACGGTCACTAAGCCATCCACAAAACACCTGTCCGACTAATTAAAAAAAATCAACTTTTAAATTTAAAATAGTAATTATTTTCCTTGTAGACGTCCGGCTCCGACGTCCGGCTCCCGTCACACTGCAAAATTTCAATGTTGATTTGAAATTGTTTCAGTACTCTCGATCAACTTTATAAAATTCCAAAGAATTAACTACACACATTTTAACATTTTCTATAATTCTTGAGCACGAATAGAAAAATCTGACATGAAAACTCTATCTGAAATGCACGATGGGTTCAATTACACACACAGTTAATTAATTGACAAGGTCAAAATTTATTTGGCAAATATAAAGAAAATTAAACAACGACCCTTGAAGAAAAAGAGGCATTCAGAGCCCGTTTTCACACATACCACGCATGCAAGCGTTCGATGGACAATTAAATAAGAATTAATGCTTAATAATTACAAGTTTTTTTGAGTCAATAAATTAAACAAATATAGTAAACGAGCTCCTAAGTATGGACAGCAATGGCGGCGATACTTCGTTAATTTTCATTGGCTTATCAACTCTAAGGTTGTCTGGGGATAAAGCTGACACAACAGAATTTTACCGCGGGAAGCTTACTTCGCAGTGTAAGGAATGAAACATTATATTACCTCCTTTTACCGTGTAAAACGAAACTAATTTCCGTCAAATGCGATTTAAAACAGGCGACCTCTAATCCTCGACTTAGAGTTCTAGCAATATATTTATGTGATTTCTAGAGTTAAAAACTGAACCTAATGATTTTATTTTTATTAAATAGTAACACGTTTGATCGCAGACTCGCGATTTTCTCCCCGGGAATTCGGTGTAATAAAAAAATTTGCTGTGGCTACGCCCGCACGATGCAATGTCTGTTAGTAGAGTTGTGTGGGGCGTTAAGGTTACAAGCTGAAATTTTGTTCATTCTAAATCCAAAAGCTGTCCAAAGTTGGACTGTGCAAAAGGTCTCAAAAGGGGCAAACCTATATTATCGCACCAATCGATAAAGAAAAGTGCGCACTTAGTTTAATGTTCAGATTCGATAACTTTCCTTTGTCGGATCAATTTTTATAAGTTTTTTTAGAGTATCTGGAAACATTAAAAGGGTTGTAAAAAGAGGCATAACGTCTCCTAAGGTATCAATTTTCGACCCAAATTTCAGGAAAGATGGAGATTCTGGACGACGTTCCAAGGCATGTAACCGTGTGATAATATAGGTTTGCCCTCTTTGGGCCCTTCTGCACAGTTCAATTTTAGACAGCTTTTGGATCTATAATTAACACTCGAATTAACATTCATGGTTCAAAATTTCAGATTGTAACCTTTACGCCCCCACGGGATGTCACAACACAACAGTTTATCAACTCTACTGACTACTATGAAGTTTACCTATAGGTAATATGGAAAAACTTCAAAAATTAAATTGAAAAAATGAGAGTATGGACGGACCGACAGGCAGACCGACATAATAGAGATGTTGTTTGATTCGGATTCCTGATGATTCAAAACGTGTATTTCCGTCAAAAAAGTGGGGGGTCTTTTTTCCCCAATGCAATACCTCCCTTACTAACGTGCGGGTGGTAACAAGTTGATTTAGTCCGAGTACAACAATAAAATCATCATGATTCAGTGATTATCGGAAAATACTCAATTGCAAACCTATACATTTTGATAAGGGAAAATCCCAAAAATTATTGCGCAACATATAGGATGTTTACAGTTTATTTGGGGATGGGCTAGCTAGAGTAATGAGCTCCAGGGGTAAATTTACTCAAATAACTTTGAGCCTGCAAACTCAAGTCTCCCCGCAAAAATGTCGCACTTGTTATAATACTAGTATTTGCCTTAGACATGTTCACCAAAAATAATTTCTCCCTGTAAATTTGGCTTAAACATTTTCCCTTCAGTAAATTTTGTTCCCAAGAATTGCCTCCCAGGGAAACTCGGCAGCTGGTAAATTTTCCACCTAAATATTTTCCTCTGTAATATGCGATTCGTGTTTTCTCCGAAAATGCGCTTTCAAAAAATGTTTCTCCAAAATATTATTTCTGCTTGCATTCAAAGTTTTCACTTCGACAGCCTAAAGCAAATTCGGCTTCCTAAAAAATTATCCCTCTGGTAGTAGACTGATCCCATTACATTTATCTACGAAAATCCGTCTCCTTCTAAAGAAAGCTCCCGGTTCCGGTAACATCAAGATTGAAAGGTCGTGTCCGGAATGCTCCCAAAAAAAGTTTACTCACAAGAGTTCCATACATTCAATTTTTAGCGCATTTTTGAGGATCAAAAAATCGTACTTTTGTTTTCATTTTGCCCGTTCGTCCATCCGTCTGTCTGTTCGAACCCACTTCTGCGGATTTGAACTACTTTTACTGTCGTAAATGCCTGGAATTTTTTGCAATAGGTCGCAAGGTATTAAACCTTGAAGGTGTGCCAGACGGTCTATTTCTCGAGCCGTTTCTGAAAGTAGAACGTGCATAACTTACACCTACATGGGTCAACCAATTAGTCTGACATTATGCATACGCATGCCACTGAATACTTTTGAAATTGGGCCCTTCTCTGATACCCCTTATCAAAATTGAGGAGTTTGGAGAGGGCAACACTGCCTTTATCCTTCATGGTACTCTAATGAAAGATCTCGATGAAATTTCTACCAAGCATTCTCCTCCTCCTCGACCTCTTACTTTGATCGGTCAAAATTCCTTATATCTCAAGAGCGGATTGTCGGAGCAGAGACTCACAAAGAGCGATTGGGACGTCTGCTAGAAATATATTATCAATTGGTGAGTCAAAGTGTGGATTTCTCGAAAACCTCTTTAGACGGCAAATGAATAGCAAAATATCATGAAATTACTGAGCAGTGAATTTCGTTCGTTTCTCCATTTCATACTTCACAACAATGCGGTAATGATATCCATTCTCCAACAGAAAGCAAATATGGTGTGATAATAAAAGCAGTTTAAAATCACAATAGAAAAAATAACTTACAGCTTATTTCTATCTTCTTTTTTATCAAAACTGCAATTATATAAAGTGGTTCGATATGTGGAGGTACCATAGCGCTTGTTTAATGCAAGTAGACGTTCATTTTTATTATTAAAGGTGCTTTTCGAACATTGCTCAAACGTATATAATGCGCCCCCGAGACAACCATTTTACGCCTGCCACTTCAGAAAACTGTGAAAATAAATAATACGAAAAACCGTATCAGGCAGGTGGTAAAGTAGAATAGAGAAAAATTGGGGAGAAGTGTTTCATGAGCTTAAGCCATTTGCATAGCGATAATATTTCCGCTCTTTACATTTGCGAAAACCTGCACGTTTCAACAAAAATACCGCCGCTAATAATAAATTGACTTATCGTAATAACTTAAATAAGCTTAAAGAAACAGACAAATTACAAAACTTATTGGGCATTTTGCAAAAACGTCAAATTTAAACCACTTTATCAAAGTTAACTACCAACAACAAATCATGCAACGGAAAGGATATAACTACCAAGTGCCAGTTTAAAAACGGCAATTTTTCAATAGATAAAAAAGCAGTTCCTAAATGGACCATACGTCTTATTTCTCGCTACACCCGCATACAAAACCGACGCGTTCAAGTGTTACAAATTACCTACATGTCGCTTTTTAAAATGAAGACATTTGCGGTGCAAAATTAGAAAATTTTACACATTTCATATTAGGTACAAACGTGACAAAGGCTTTCACGCGCTTTATTTTGGGGATTAATTACCTTCACTTTTACAATGGGGATCGATACAGTACAGGCGTGCAGGTATAATATTTCAAATGCGTAAAAACTAAGTACCTATAATTATAATCAAACGCAAATCTAAGTCTGATCGATCAGCATTCACAATGCTGCCCTCTTCGCATCTCGACCATTTATAAACTGAATTGCAAACTTTCTTATTTATGCGAAGGTATTTAGATGAAATTTGATACATAGGCACTTGCAATAAAAGCAAATTTAATGCCAATTTCAAAATTTGGTTTTGCACATGCTATAGCCAAACCCAGGAGCTCGAGCGTTCTCTCCAGGTGACACCTTTTCTCTTTAGTATGCCCAACAGTTTCTCCCAGTTTACCCAATTCTATAATGCCTTTAGGATGTCAACAAAAGCTACACCGAAGGTCTTTCCTTTTTCCAAATATCTTCCGCCGATAGTTCCCACCTCTTGTGCCCATTCTTCTTGTGAAACCAAACAATTCCTACACGATATTCTCCAAAATTCTATTCAGTATTTTCAGTAAGATCATTGCTGTGTATGTCACTAGGCTGATTGTTCCATATTCTGAACATTTTTTTGTACCTTGCCTCAGGTAGTGTCACTATTTCTGAATTTTCGTTGATTTTTTTACAAAGAGATCTAAT